TCAGATGCGCCCAACCATGTCTTTCAAACTCTAGACGAGTTGTCCTTTGCTTAGCTTTAAAAAAAATTTTTTTAGATTTAGTAACTTTTTAACCTCCATTATTTTATGCATGCTTTTATTAAGTGTCTGGGATTCTGATGAGTAAATTATGCATTTTCTTTGAGGATGTCTATTCCAGTAAAATGTGACTCTCCGATGAAGATTATAGAAATGACATATTTTTTGAAGCACATGATATGGTGGAATGAGACCTGTCTTCGCAACTCATAAGCCCTAGTTTATCTAAAAAAATTTTTAAAAAAAATAGCCCGTCATGGTGAGGGGGGCTAGTAGTTCCGAGCAGAGGGACGGTGAAGGGGGAAGGATTTCTGGAGCCCAGCAGACCGGAGCTGGGGTGGCGGCGTGTGGGTCTCTGCACTCCAGCCTGGACTACCAAATGAGCCTCCAACTCAAAAAAAAAAAAAAAAAAAAAAAATATATATATATAAATATTTTAAATATAATTTTATATTCAAGAAATACATACTTTAGTTTATTTCAGCCAAGAATTTTATGACTCCCTGGCTGCTTTTCAAGATCAAGTACCCCAGGAAGCTACTGCTTATAGTGTACAGTGTATCCTAGAACCTATTTTTTTTGTTGTTTGAGTTGGAGTCTTACTCTGTCGCCCAGGCTCGATTGCAGTGGCACGCTCACGGCCACCTCACTCTCAACCTGCTGGGCTTAGGCGATCCTTCCGCCTCAGCCTCAGTCTTCCAAGTATATTTATGACATCAGGAGGCTAGATTTTCACCTAATAATTAAAAACAAGACCCAGAGTGAGGGGAATTTAAGTAATTGGTGAGATCAAATTTGTTTATTTTATTTTTTACATTGGAACATACATTTTTCCAAAATTTTCTTCTTCTTTAGGAAAATAAAATTGGAAAACCTGCAGTTGGGTATTATTATTATTATTATTATTATTTTTTTTTTTTGAGTTAGAGTCTCACTCTGTCGCCTAGACTGGAGTGCAGTGGCATGCTTCTGGCTACCGCAGTCTTGACCTGCTGGGCTCTGGCTATCCTTCCTCCTCAGCCTCAGCCTTCCAAGTAGCCGGAACTACAGGCATGCACTACCACGCCCGGCTAATTTTTGATTTATTGTAGAGAAGAGATCTCGCCAAGTTGCCCAGGCAGGTCTCGAACCCACAGGCCCAAGCAATCCACTCGCCTCGGTCTTGCAAAGTGCTGGAATTACAGGCTGAGCCACCAAGCCCGGCAGGTGAATATTATTAAGCTTTAGAAATAGGTTTAAAATATCTTTATCATTTAACTGCGTTTGCATTTAGTCTATCTGTCAAACAATACTAGTCCTTCCTGCTACCACCTTTTAAATTTATTTATTTATTTCTATTTTTTGAGTCAGAATCTCACTCTTGAATGCAGTGGCACGCTCTTGGCCACCGCAGCCTTGACCTGCTGGGCACAGGCGATCCTTCCACCTCAGCCTTCCAAGTAGTTGGGACCACAGGCACGCACCACCATGCCTAGCTACTTTTTTGATTTATTGTAGAGATGAGGCCTCACCAAGTTGCCCAGGCTGGTCTTGCACTCCTGGGCTTAGGCAGTCTTCTTGCCTCAGCCTCCCAAAGTGCTGGGATTACGTAGGTGTGAGCCACTGTGCCTGGCCAACCTTTAAAATTTAATGTGGTGATTGTCTGACAATAGGATAAGAGGGTCTAGCTAATTAATGTAATAATGCATAGTCATTAAAATGGTGTTTCTGCTGACCCCATCATTAACATGTGATACTCTTCATAAAATAAAAGTGATGCTGTTGCAATTATATTAAAAATAATTTGTATAGAAAAAAATCCTGGGCGAAAGTATACACTGCAGATTTTTGTTTTTTGACTCTGTTTGTATTTTCCTTACCTTATTTAAAGAACGTGGTTTATGTATATTTATTTATTTATTTATTTTTGAGTTGGAGTCTCACTCTGTCGCCCAGACTGGAGTGCAATGGCATGCTCCCGGCCACCGCAGCCTTGACTTGCTGGGCTCCGGCGATCCTTCCGCCTCAGCCTTCCAAGTAGCTGGAACTACAGCCGCATGCTACCAGGCCTGGCAATTTTTTTTTTTTTTTTTTGAGTTGGAGTCTCACTCAGTCACCCAGACTGGAGTGCAGTGGCCGCTCCCGGCCACCGCGGCCTCGACCTGTGGGCTCCGGTGATCCTTCCGCCTCAGCCTTCCAAGTAACCGGAATTACAGGCATGCGCTACCACACCCGGCTGATTTTTTGATTTATTGTAGAGATGAGGTCTCGCTGCCC